GGTTGTTGATTTGATCTGCAGCAAAGGCTAAAGTACAAGGCCTGATGCCGCCTGCTCCAATGGCAGTGAGAACAAGTGATGAAGCAAGAAACAACACTTGCGCTTTACTTGGAGCTGCACAAGCTTCTGAGTATAACTTGCAGTGTGGAGGCCTTGCTTTGTGAATAATTGCAGTGAGCCACAGCACAATTAATCCCTGGAAAGACAACACGATCAACATATTTAATCTGATTCCAATGCTTTTCAAGCCTAATAATGCCATTATTTGTCCATTTATAGGTAAGAGTGGAGCTGAGATTTAATTATAAGGAGGTTGAGGTGGAAAAGCATACCTCCTCTATTTCAAAATATTTCTCATTTAAGGTTATTACAGATACATTAAGAAATACAATTAACAAATAAAAATTATGATATACTTTACCAAATCTGCCTTTTGTTTATGGGATATATCCCATTAATATGCTAACGGTTTTTTAATTTTTAAGAGTAAAATGGGAAAAGTATCATGTGATAGTGTTCTGGAAGTCTAAAAAGACAAATAACATGAAACAATTTTTTTCCCTAAAAAGATTAATATTTTGAAATAAAGGAAGTATATAGTATAAAATTTTCACAAATTTTTTTTTTTGGGAGCAAAATTGAAAACTTAAGGGCCATCACCCACTCAACTGTTTATAGGGAAATCAACAATAATGGCAGATGGTTTTATCCATGAGTACACTTAAAAAACAGGTCCCATAATCTTAGCCTCACATTTTGAGTAAACTAAACATGACTCATAACCTAGACATTCTTGTCATTTGCCAGAGTTGTCCAATTCATTAAAAAAAGCTCAATTTTCAATTCTCAACAAAAATTTCTGCATAGAATACATAGTTTTCTTACAGATGTAATTTGTCCATGAACATACTTGAAAAATAGTCATGACATTCCAACAAGCATGTCATTCAATTCCCATATACATGTTAATTCATTTATCACTTCATATACTTTATGACTGTGACTAATATGTCATCAATGAAGATAAAGGTTAAAGGGTACATTTTTGAACTGGAGCAAAAATATACTTACTAGAAGTTCAAAGAGTGTTCCACATGCGATAACCCGAAATCGTCCGAGGTAAGAATCAGACAAGAAAGCACCAAACATTGGCATAAAGTTGATGAGGGCATTCCACAGGAAAATTATTATAGACCCAGTTGCAGTATCATAATGATATTCTGTCATGAGGTAAACGATCATGTTTACATGAAGCCCCACATTTGCTACTTTCTCAAATGTTTCGTTTGCTACATTAACAAAACAACCACAAAACTTAATTCACGTTTAATATAAACTACACACACACAGATATATCATCACTAGTAGTTAAACTTCAAAGAAAAAGTATTGTTACATATGATAAAGGGGATGGTTTTGAAGCCACCCCTTTTGCTTCTAATATGTTGGTTGCCTTTCTCTTTCTCCATTGAAACTTCCATGTTAAGAGATTTGAATCTTTGTTCTTGATAGGGATGCGAGGACAATAGTTTTCTTCACACACTATCTCTTAACTATGACATCTTTATACTACCTCGACCCTCGTTATTATCCAACTTCTTGCCGCCTCAGAAATTGTAGCTATGTAAGGAAAAAAAATATATAGCTAAAGAGGAAGAAATATATATATATATATATATATATATTTAATCAAATATATATACATATACATGTTAGTTCTTTTTTCTTACCAGTTTTTTGCAGTGTGAAACGGTGGATATCACTATCATCACATTGATTACTTTTGTTTCTACTAGCTGGTTCTGTAATGTATGATAACATTCATTTAGAAAGCTAACAAGATGAGAGCTTTTCTCGATGTTTGCTTTGCTCAAAGGCCAATAATGCTCATGTTATTTTATTTGCATATATATATATATATATATATTAGAGCCTTAAAGCCAGGATTAAGTTTTGAACTAAGATTGTTAATTGATTGAATACTATATATATTGTTCTTGAAATTAAATAGACGATGCTATTTAAGTGGCTCTGGGAAACGTGGATGGTTAGTCCAGCAAAACGGCGCGTGAAGGTAAAGATGACGATTTGCGTAATAATATAAAAATGATTGGTCTTTTCTTGTGCATCAAAATGTACAACATATTTAATTTGGTCCCCCCAATGTCATGAAAAATTCATTTAGTATTCTTAAATACAAGATGGCAGTGTCAAGTTTCAACTTAGATTCTCTTTGTTTCTTTCCCTTTTTTTCCCCCCTCTTTTATTTCTAGGTTCAACTTTTTACATATGTGAAAGTTCTTCCAGAGTCTCATATGCAGGTTGATTACAATCATTTTGTCTTGGTTGGACCTATAGACACTTCATTGTTCATCAGAATAAAATTATAGTGACCTTTGAAGATCTTCTAAATGGCCAAAAAAAAAAAAACGAACAGTTTCAACCCAGATAAACAAATATGGATTAAGCTTAAGCATTTCTTGTGGTTTAATTAAGCCACCACTTGACAATCAATGAAGAGACAAAAATGATATGGGTTTAGATTTAATTTGGGCTTGATTAATTATAATTATGATTAGGATTCCTTGCCAAGTAGATTATGTCTACACAGCTACCTAATTTTAAAAACTTAAATCGTAGCTAGATTGCTGTGAGACGCTATGACTAAAATTAGACAAAAACCTATTTTATTTCCACGAAGTACGATGTTATTGTTAATTTTACTATATAAACTATATAAACTTTATGTTACCTCATAGTACAACTTAGGATGCATAAATTTATTTTTCTTTTTTAACCTAATGTGAGAAAAATAATGATTCTAGAGTGCTTTTTATTCTGGTTTTAAATATGTCAAATTTTCTTTGTCATTTTTTATACACAGGAGTATGATTTTATTTCAATCCAATGAAAATTTATAAGTATTTTTGGAAGGATAATTTTCGTTGTGTGTGAAACTTAGAAGTATAATTTCTCTGTGTTTGTGTCTAGCTATCACATATCAGCTGAGAAGAAAGCACAATGAAAGAACTATGTGATTGAATTGGAGGACTCATTTCAAAGTTACATGGCACCAGTATACCAATATGCTCTAATTAAATCCCATATTTCTAAATAATTATTACGTGAGACTGAATGACTATAAAAGGGACTTATTAGATTATAATATCAGATAATTTACAAGGAATGCAAGCTAGGCACAACCCCTTTGGTGAGACTAAATAACATTACAACGACAATAAGAAGCCTTATCCTATTAGATAGGGTCAGCTATATGGATTGCACGACACTATTATATTATTTCATCAACCAAGCTTTTATGAATATTTCTCATTCGATAACTTTCATGAGTGTTTTTTTTTTTTTGTCTTCCTCTACCTCCCTTTATAGGATTCAAGATTATTCTTTCCACTATTCTCATTGGTTCCTTCCACAACTTTCTTTGCACATATCTAAATCATCTCAAATTATTTTCTATCATTTTCCCCCTCAACAGATGCCGTGCCTATTTTTTTTCATATATGTTCATTTTAGATTTTATCTTTTTATGTATGCCTGCACATCTATCTCAACATTCTCATCTCTGTCACTCTAACTTTATGCTCCTAATGTCCCTTTAAAGCCAAACATTTACTATCATATGAAATAACTGGTTTTATGGCAATTCAATAAAACTTTTCTTTAAGTTTATTAGGTACTCAATTACAAATAACTTTTTAGCCTTTTCCAATGACATTAGCCAAAAAAAATCTAACATGACTTGCACCACAAGAAAAAAAAATTGATAAAGCAATATCAGAACCGTTTTGTTGACTCTTAGTTCTTTATCATCCCAGGTGTATAAGTCTTGAGTACTCCCATAAGCCCACCTACACACAAAGAAGTAGAGCATATTAACCCCACTTGGAATGGCTAGTAGCTCATAATAGAAATCAAAGTAACCATTGTTGGGATGACGGGAAAGTCAACTCTGTCTTTCTCCTCTCTGTGTTACATTCTTCACAATGGTCACAATAAGGCCAACCGTGAGATTGCCCACACCAAAACCCACAACAAAAAAAGCCATATCAATACTAGACATTCTTTTTGGAAACCGAGCGTAATAGAGCTCTGTCTGTCCAATAGCATTGACAGCTTCAGCTAAACTAGTTAGGCATAACTGAGGCACTAGCCCCCAAGCAGACATGATCACTATCCCCTTAGGATTTCCTACTAACCCTTCTCCAATGGCAGGGTTTCTTCTGCTTCTCTCAACTGCTGCTGCTATAATATAATGGGCTAAAAATGTTAATGCTATCCTAATTTCCATTCTTTGCATGACGGTTAATCCTCTTCTTATTCTCAGGTATTTTGATTTTGAGAGTAAAGGGACTAGAATGCGGTCATAGATTGCTATCCATATGGCCAAAGACAAGACTGTAAATATAGCTAACTTGGTTTCTGGGACTTCAAAGTTGAAGATGTCTGTACATTGTGCCTGGTTGAACCACAAAAATGTAAGTTGGTTCAAACCAGCAGAAACCAAGAAGCCAGTGGACCAAATAGGCAACACTTTGATCAGTGCTTTCAGCTCTTCAATTTGCCTCACTGTACATAAACTCCATGGCTCCATTGGCGCACCATTAGAGTCCAAGTTGCTAGCTTTCTTCCTGATCAAGCACTCGTTGCTCAAGAACCTAGTGACATTCAGATTCAATTTACATGGGTTGGCTAAGTCTTGTAACCTATCTCAAACAAAAGATCTAAAGGTAGATATATAAATATAAATGGTCATTTACATGTTTATCTTAGTCTGGACAACATTTAAGCAGATGTGATATGCCAGAAAGATCTATATAACATGGCTTATGACACAAAGTATGCTAGTAGTTGACTCAGACAACTTGGTACCTTAGTTTGTCTGTAGGTTTGACAAGTTTTGCACAATCCTTGAAAGATCAATTTTCAGAACCCTTGGGAGGGAGAGCTAGGTGTCTCCTATTCCAGGCTACTGTAACAACTTAGGCCAAGCCAATGCATAAGCTCTTGTCCGCTTTGGGCTTGACATATAGGTGAGAGCCCAAGAAGAACATGACAGTGGAGAATAACATGAGGCCCCCAGTAATCCCAAAGCCCTCAATCCACCCAGTTTTGATTTGAATGTAAACTATGATTGTCACTAAAAGGCCAAATGAAACTGCAACAGAAACATAGTACCAATTGAAGAAGCTTTTCATCATCCTCTCGTTTCCATTGTTTTCTGGCATTTCAATTTGATCTGTAGAAAAGGCTAAATAACAAGGCCTAACGTAGCCTTGTCTAATGGCCATGAGAAGAAGTGATGAAACAAGAAACATCATTTGTCTAACATTTGGAGTTGCAAAAGTTTCTACTTGCAAATTGCATTGTGGTGGCATTTCATTATGAATAATTGCAGTGAGCCATAGCACAATCAAACCCTGCAAGGAAAACTAAAACTCTATCAAATGTGTTCATTCGAATGCTTTGAATTCTCATAGTTTTCATATACCATGGTTCACTTTCAAAGGAATATTAAGTAGTAGGGATAATATAATTTTTAGTCTTTAAACTTTTTCTCAATTATCAATTTAGTCTTTGAATTTTGACTCAGCACAACACAGTCTTTGTAGTTTGTTAAGTTGAGAAATTATAGGAATTTATTTGTACTGAGTTAAAAAATTATAAGGATTGAGTTGTTCTAAGTTAAAAAGTACAAAGACTGAATTGTTTCAAGTCAAAAGTTTAGGAATTGAATTGAAAATTGAAAACAAGTTCAGGGACCAAAAGTTATATTTTCCCTAATTAAAATGAGTCCTTTACCCAGCCAATAAGTAACAAGCATACTTGGTGTGACTTAAACCTCATTCTTGATCATAAAGAACCATGTGAGGTATGAAGTGGAGGAAAGAATGAAGGCAAACCCATTGGAATAGGGTAGTCTCTTAAGTTTATGGGCCTTGGCCACTCAAGCTTCACATAAAATAGGCCTTTTTTATGTAAGGCTAGAAGCTTAGAACCAAGAGACGATGTTGTACCAGACTAGTATTGCAAGAACATATATAAATATGCTTACGATTAGCTCGAAGATGACAGACCATGCAATAACACGGAACCGTCCGAGGTAAGAATAGGAGAGAAAAGCACCAAAAATGGTCAGGAAAAAAGAGACTGCGCTCCACATGTTCATTATTATGGCTGCATTTGCAGGTTCATTATGATATTCTAACATGAGATAAACAACCATGTTTACTCGCAAACTTATATTTGCTACTTTCTCAAAAGTCTCATTTCCTGAAACACCAAATCGTAAATGTTAAAACTCATGTCACTACAAGTTATAATTTAATTAAGCAACCGTCATCACTAGAAAACTTAAACAATTAGTGTTACCTATGTTAAAAAGCATGGTTATGAGGCCACTCTTTTTGGTGGTAATCTGTATTTGTTGGCTTTGTTTTGTTCCTCCTCCATTGAAGTCTCCATATGTGTCTTGATTTCTTCTGTAATATGAATGTAGTTCAGATATTTATAAATTAGAGCTTTATTTGTGATAGGGAATTGTGAACAAAGAGTAATGTGTTCTACAATCAATAATGCCATATCTCTCTAAAAGATGTCAACATGTAATTACAAGACAAGTAAACTTATTGAATGCAACCCCACGTAAAAAATTAAACTAATAAAAAAACTTCGCATAGTCAATGTAAAGTTTTAGACTATAATGTTTGTATTGACATTAGAAAAACAAGGGAATAGGTTAACTATTTATTTGGATGTTTGTGAACATACATTCCTTTCAATTCAAAAGGATAAATCTACAACTGATCTTGTTTGTTTTGCTTAAAGGCTAAAAATGCAGATGCTAAGTCGGCACAAGACTTGCAGAATCCCACTTTGGGACAATTATGTGTTTACACACTTCAGAATCTCATTGATGTATCAATCTATATATATATATATGATCATATTTATGGGAGTGTAAAACATTAAGCCTACAAAATTTATATATATATATATATATCAACACTAATATTGTAGATATATTTGACTTTACAAATGTGAGTTTTAGATTATTCATTAATGAAAAATCATAGTGACCTTGTTGAAACCATCACTTAACAATTAATGAAGAGTCAAAATTGATGAGTTTAGATTAAATCTAGGCTTAACGTAAACTTATTATAATTTATCGAATTTTTAGCTTGAGTGCATTGTAGGCCGTTTTCTTATCAGCTCTCACCATACTAAAATTATTTCTAAGAGTAGAAAAATATTAGACAATTTTCATGCCAGTCATTCATTTGAAGAATTGCTCCAGAGTGAAAATCACTAATGAAGAGCCAATAAGGCAGAGGCAAAAGCAAGATCTATTTGATTACAATTTTTATAATGGTTATTTGTTTTCCTTGTTGCCTATGTGAATAATTAAAGCCAGAAAAGCTATGGCAATATATGGAGATGATCAGATGAACTTATAGCATTTTTTTTTTTTCTGGAGAAGAGGGAAAATTCAATTCATCCAAAAATGAAACTTATGGCTTTTCATTTATTTTTCTACAAGATGAACTTATAGCATTTTGTGATGCTAAGGATGTAAAAAAAGAAGCTTCGCCATTGAATAAGGAAGAAACAGCAACATAGAGTGGCATTATATTTTGTTGGTGATGAATTCTATATAAGCTCTGTTATCAACAAATAAATTTGCATTAATTAACCCCTCTTAGTACCCTCATGACCGCAGAGGATTAGGATTTCTTGGCAAGAAGATCTGTTCACAAAGCAACCTAATTTCACTCTGTAGGAAAAAAGCCAACTTTTAGTACGTATTTCAAAAAATTGAAGTATAACGGGATTATTATGATCAGACACTATATGATTAAAGTTAGAAAAAAAGTACTCTGAATGTGTCTTTTATTCTAGTTTCAAATGTTTAAGTATTTTATTTGTCATTTGAGTACATGGGGGATATGATTTTATTTTATTTCAATGAAAATTTTGGAGCTTTTTTTGGAAGGATACCTGTATGTGTAATAGTATATCTAGGATCTAGCTACCATATAACTTTCACCCATAGCTTTTAGATCAGCTAATAAGAAAGCCAAATGGAAGAAACAACACATGGACTGAGTTATCTACAAAAATGAAAGAAAGAAAACTTGTGATCAAGCTGCAAGAAGGGAGGTGATTGAAGTGAAGGATTCATTTCAAAGGTGTGTAGCACCAGTTAGCCAATATGCTAAATAAAAATATTATATTTCTAAACTATTTTAGTGTGAGACTGAATGACAATAACAAAATGACTATTGGATTATAATATCAGAGAATTTACGAGGAATATTGGACAGGCATAAGCCTTTTAGTAAGACTGAATTGCATCTGCAGAAAGACTAGTATGAATTGCACCACAAGAAACAAAATTATTTGATAAAACTACATGAGAACTGTTTCCTTGAATCTCAGTTCCTCAGGTAGCATCAATATCTTCTGTTGATTTTACTTTTGTGTCATCTTCCTCATCCCAAATTTCTATGTCTTGAGTACTCCCATAAGCCCAACTACACAGAAAGAAGTATAGCAGATTAACGACATTTAGAATGGCAAATAACCAATAAAAGTAATCATAGTGACCATTATTGGGATTCCGAGCAAGCCAGCTCTGTGTTCCTCCTCTCTGTGTTACTTCCTTCACAATTGTCACAATGAGACCAGCCAATACATTTCCAACACCCATGCCAACAGCAAAAAATGCCACAGCAATGCTAGACATACTCTTTGGAAACTGAGTGTAATAGAACTCTATCTGTCCAATAGCATTGAAAGCCTCAGCTAAACCAGTCAGGCAAAACTGAGGCACTAGCCACCAAGCAGACATACTCACTATTCCTTTGGGATTTCTCACTAAACCTTCTCTAATGGCAAGGCTTCTTCTTCTTCTCTCAACTTCTGCTCCTGTTGTATGGGCTAAAATTGTTAGTACTATACCAATTCCTATTCTTTGCTTCAATGTGAATCCTCCTCTTATTCTGGTGCATTTTGATTTTGAGATTAAAGGTACAAGAACACGGTCGTAGATGGCTATCCATATGGTCATTGAGAGTATTGTAAACACAATAAAGTTAGTTGCTGGGACTTCAAAGTGGAACAGAAGGTGTCTGTCCATTGTGGTTGCTTGAGCCACAAGAAATGCAAGTTGGTTCAGGCCGGCTGCAACCAAGAAGCCAGTTGACCAAATAGGCATCACTTTGATCAGTGCTTTAAGCTCTTCTACTTGCCTCACTGTACATAAACTCCATGGATTCATTGGCATACCATTAGAGTCCAAGTCGCTTGCTTTGTTCCTGATCATGCACGCCTTGTTCAAGAACCTATGAACATTAAGATTCACTATGCATTGGTTAAGTAAGTCTCGAAGTAGATATTGAAGTAGATATAAGTGTGAAATGGTCATTTACAAATTTCCCTACATCTAGACAACTTTTAATGAAACTGTAATGTACCAAAGAGATACTCTCTTCGATTCTTATTATAAAGCACCTCTAACTATTTCACTAGAATCAATTTTGTCTAAAAAAATGTGATCAACTTCCAATCTTACCCTCTTTTTAAATGCAAATTTTTCAAATTTGCATTAATTTTCTCTCATAAGTAATTAGTTTAAATATGAGTAATATTGAAAAAAATGTAATTAATACCTCCATTAAGTATCTTATATTAAAGACCAAAAAAAAAAATCCTTTTAGAAAGCACCCTAGATTAGAGTAATATATATCATGGCTTATGACATAAGGTATGATAGTTATTGAATGAAACAACTTGGTACCTTAGTTTGTCTGTAGGTTCAACAAGTTTAGCACCGTCCTTGGAATACCAATTTCCAAAACCCTTGGGAGGGAGAGTTAGGTGTCGGTTTTTCCAGGCTGCTGCAGCAACTTGGGCCAAGCCGAAGCACAAGTTCTTGTTTGGTTTGGGCTTGATATATAGGGGAGAGCCCAAGAAGAACATGACACAGGAGATTAACATGAGGCCCACTGTAATCCCAAAGCCCTTAATCCACCCCGTTTTGATCTGTATGTAGACTATGAATGTCACTGAAAAGCCAAGAGAAACCCCAACAGAAACATAGTACCAATTGAAGAAGCTCTTCATGATGCTCTTGTTTCTTGGGTTTTCTGGGTTGCTGATTTGATCTGCAGCAAAGGCTAAAGAGCAAGGCCTGATTCCACCAGCTCCAACGGTCATGAGAACAAGTGATGAAACAAGAAACAAAACTTGCCCAGCACTTGGAGATGCACAAGCTGCTTCTAGATAGAAATTGCATTTTGGTGGCCTTGCATTGTGAATAATTGCAGTGAGCCACAGCACAATTAATCCCTGTAGGGAAAACAAAAGCCATGGTAATTAACTATGTTCATTCATTCCAACGCTTTTGAAATCTCATTGTATTGGGATTTAGAAATTTAGGTAGTGTTTAGATATATGGATTTGAATTTTAGATTTAAAATCTCACATTTTAATTTTCATATTTAAAATTCAAATATTTGAAATCTTTTGTTTGGGTAGTTTAAAAATTTTCAACAATAAAAGGGAAATAAGTTGAGATTCAAAATGAAAAAGGAAAATTGGAAGTGATAACCTCTATTTTTCAATTAACAAAAGATGAGAATGAGAGATGAGAAAGGTTATGAGAGTTTCAGAAACATCAACAATGAAAACGTGAAAAGAATGAGAAACTTGAAGTGACAATTATTTTAAATGATTAGATTATAAAAGAAGTTTGAAATTGCAAAAGAATTATAATAAAATATAAATTTAATTTATAAATTTTTATATATCTAAATGAGAGATTTGGTCCAAATCTAAATTCTCTTTAATCCAAACACACCCTAAATGAATTTTCAGAAATATTAAATAATTGAAAATTAGCAATAAAAGTAACAGAAGATCATAGAAATATATATATATATATATATATATAGTTGGTCAGAGAAATTTGAAGCAAAATCTCTGCCACACGATTCATATCCCAATATATTCCATGTTTCACTTTTAAGGAGAAAAGAATTGTAACAAGTCAAGCCAGTTTCTTTAATTTGTTCACTTCTCCCCACTAATAAATAACCTGCGTGTGTGTGTGTACTAGTGCAACAAGACGGCTCATGCCTGATACGCTAGAGAATCATGTCTTGCCGAAAAGCCGGAAGGATTAAGACTGATGAATGCTGAGGCACAGACACACACGCGCACGTGCACACACAAAACTAATAAAACTAAAATGATCATATCACGTTGAGTAAAAGTTCACCAATAAATTTCAACCGCATTAAAAAATTATGAAGAGTTATATTGAATAAAAATTTAAGAATTAAATTTTAATTAGGATAAAAGGACAAAAATATTCACAAAATAATCAGCCACGGGTATCCAATATTCTAAAGGGACGAAAAGGGCAAAAATATCCATAACGTTACATGGATAGGTGCAAAAGTAACCTAACCGTTAACTTTGACCTAACACTATTAACTTTTATAATTAAATGCTGACTATACATGTCGCGTGTTAGTCTTTGCTGACATGGACTAAAAAAGGGAGAAAAATACCTACGAAGTTGTAGGCCAGGAGCAAAAATACTCATAACGTTATCAAAATTGGTGCAAAAATGATTAATCCATCTAATTCTTAAATGTTAATTGTTTAGCTGACACCTAAGTAAAAGTTGACTTTTTTTTTTTTTACTGATGTAGGTAAAAAATATTTCGAGATGAAATTCTCTGAAAGTTAATCGATTATTGTATGAATATCATGTGAGAAAATATCATTTTGACTGAATATCAAATTAAATTGCTTGTTTCTTGGTAGCAGTGGCGAAAATTGTTTGAAAATTTTGAATCTATCATGAATGCAATTGCTTAAGGCTGTGACAATGTTCTTAAGCTAGATGTGCTCAGTCTCAATCTTTGATTTTGAACAACCTATATCATTATGTTAAATCTCATGTTTTGCAAATAAGAAAAATGAGTCGAGAGATAGAAAGGAAGGGGGCGAGATACATGATGATGGAAAAAAACCATATGGCATTGATTTTGATGGATTGGTCTTTGTTGCACCTACTAAAGTAATATTATAAGTACTCTTACAATGATTGATTAACATCCGTAAAAATTCATCTTGGAATATTTTTTTATCTATATCAGCAAAAAAATATAATCAACTTCTGCTTAAGTGTCAACTAAACAGTCAACATTTAAGGGATTAGATGTATTAGTCACTTTTGCATTAATTCTGATAACGTTATGGGTATTTTTGCTCCTAGCTAACAACTTCGTGGGTATTTTTGCCTCCTTTTTAGTCCACGTCAACAAAGATTGACATGTGACATGCACAATCAGTATTTAAAGGTTAAAGTTGACAATGTTAAGTTAAAGTTAATGATCTGGTTACTTTTATACCCATTTATGTAACGTTATGAGTATTTTTATCCTTTTCGTCATTTTAGGATATTGGGTGCCTGTGGTTGACTACTTTGTGGGTATTTTTATCCTTTTGTCTTTTTAACTAGGGGCAAACCCTAACTTAAAAGTGTGGGGGGCCAATTGTTTAACAATTAATTATTATATATAATTACTTAAATTTGTTTAGTATTTATTAAAACAAATAATTTATAGAGTAAAAATATAAGATGATAAGTTTTGTAGAAATACATATAATGTTAAAAAACTAAAAACCTTTAAAAATATAAAAAGTTGAATGCCATATACTCCCTCCTTCCTTATGCATAATATATTTTTAATCAAATCATGCAAACTAATAAAAGTTGATTTTCTATTTAAAAGCATAGCAATATTTCATTTTTACCCATAATTGTTATAAATAAAAAATAAATTTTTTTTTGAAAGTAAATTAATGAGAGTACTTATCATTTTTTTTCTTTTTCCAATTTAATAAAGGTATAATTATTCATTTATTAAAAAATATGCTGACCTCTCTTATATTTACATACAAACAAAAATTTTAGAAACCTCTTATATATAAAGAAGGAGGGAGTATGATTTAGTTTCAAGAAAAATTATAAAAAATATATAAAAATTTATATTTTCAATACATGTTTTTACATATTCCATAAATAATTTTTTTATTGAAAATAGGGTTAATGAGCATTGTAGATTCTAATTTATTATACGAATATCATCCTGAACCTTGAACTCATGAAATGTGCAAAAAATCCTATTGACTTCTAAATTTCAAATGCTTGAAAACCCATTGTTAAGTTGAAAAAAACTCCTATTATTTTTAATGGTCAAAACGAGTGTCCTAATGTGTAATTGGGCCCCACATCTATAAAAATAATAGTCATTTTCTCCAACTTAATGGTGAGATTTCAGGGGATCAGAATTTAGAAGTTGAGAGAATTGTTTTATACATTTCAAGAATTCAAAATCTAGGATACTATTTACATAATATTTAAATATATGACAATTCAATATTCTATAATACTAAAAATTATATAACAAATAGCTAAAAGTAAACTTTTAATCTTTAACTTTACACAATGTTTTATTTTAATCTCTTAATTTTATAAATTGTCTTTTCATTTTTATCTAGTTTCATTGAAAAAAAATGCCAATATTAAACTTTTAAATGAAATTTTTAAAATAGCAATAATTGACATTAAAAAAATTCATGATTTGAGATTACTGGTATTAGGATTAAAAAATTTTAAAAAATATTTTATAAAATTAAAAGATAAAATTGAGATCTCAATCACATACCCCAATAATATTGAAAATCTTATTACTCCTTTTTGTTTTTGTTTTTGTTTTTTTTATCCTCTCTCACCATCTCACCCTCGTTTCCTTCTTCCTTCATGATTCTCTCTCTCTCTCGTGCTAACCTCTAATACCATGAATGGGTAAGGTAGGGAAAGCACCCCCGCCTACAACATGAGCCGGCTTTTGATTTTAACTTAATCAAAATTATATGAACCAAATGATTAATTTTGTCATATACGCCCAAACTTACAAGTAGCTGGAAGATGATGGCGAATGAAATAACTCGAAATCGTCCAAGGTATGAATCAGAAAGGAAAGCACCAAAGATGGTCATGAAATGAGAGACGGCATTCCAAAGGCTCATTATTACAGCAGCACCTGCAGTATCATAGTGATACTCTTGCATCAGGTAAATGATCATGTTCACATGCAGACCAACATTTGCCACTTTCTCTAATGCCTCGTTTGCTGATAAAACCGCCACAAAAAGATTATTATAAGTAACTGTTATCATCATCATAATCATTATCATGACTTAAAACTTGATGAAAAGATTAAAATGTTACCTATGATAAAGGGCATGGTTATGAGACCACCCTTCTTGGTGGTGCTAATCTGGAGGAGGTTCTTGGCTTCGTTTTGCTCCTCCATTGACGTTTCTCTGTGAGGATTTTGACTCTTGATTTCTTCTGCACTGATATGAATGTGTATATCAGAAACTTATCAGAGCTTTGATTATTGTAGGGATGGGGAATCGTGATATCAATAAATATTATTGTTTTCCAGACACATTAATGTATTCACGGATGCTCCTTGAAGGTATATGCCTCGTTTATATCCACCTGCCATATATAAATTTCAAGGCAAGACAAATTAACTTCTTGTAAACAACCCCACAGATAATAATAGTAATTAATTGAATAAATAAATAATTCAACTAAACTTTGCAGTTTATAGTACTACCCATATCCTTTTTTTCTTAATAACATGTTTATTTAGGAATGATTCAATCTTTCATGATGCAAAACGTTTCGAGAAATATAGTGATTTATTAGTAAAGATTATTTCAAAATTACCCTCATTGTTTCACTCTCTTATTTATTAGTAAAATGTTCTCTCTCTTATTTAATTAATTTTATTAGTATTTGCAATTTAACTAAAAGCATTTTATAAAATAAAGGCTGTTCACTTAGAGTAAGAAATTTGAGTCAAGCTCGACGAGCTAGCTTGAACTTGTCCAAAAAAATTTAACATTAGGTTTAAAGAAACATATTTTTTAATATTTAAGCTTATTCAGGTTGCATGAATTTTTTCAAGCCAAGCTCAATCGGGTTCAGGCTTGGCTTGAATATCTAAATAAAAATTTTTATTTTTAAAAAATATATAACATATAATAAATATTAAATAATTATTTAATTTTTAAGTCATTTGATACTAAAATACCATATATTTAAATCCTATACATCATTTAAATATAAAAAAATATATTTTATATTTTTTAGAAAATAAAATAATTAATTTTAAAGTAAAGAAATTAATTAAAAATAATTTCAAAAATAAAATTTAGGTTTTTCAGTGAATCGGGCTTGTTCAAGTTTGGACTTATTCGGGACGGTCCACTACTATTTGTGTATATATATATACATATATTCTTTCCGTTTAAAAATATAAGGTATTTTTAGCTGAATCTCACCCTTAATAAAGTAGTTATCTACTTTTAAATTAACCCTATCTTTTTATATTTACCTCCATTAAACATCTATAATAAATATAAAATTATTCATTAATAGGGTACTTTTGAAAAAAGACAATGATTACACCTCAAAAGACTAAAAATGCTTTATGTTTTTGAATATTCAACTCCTAAAAAAATGCCTTATATTTTTAAATGGAAGGAGCATAAAACATCCATATAGACATTCATTTAATTATTTAGTCACTAGATTAATAGGAGTTGGGTTTAACAAAAAGAGTTAGTCTTTTACAGAGTATTTAATGCTCAACTGTATTTCAAATAGAATTGCCTTTCATGAAAAGATATTTATAAATAATAAAATAACTACTTATTTATTGGGTCTTGAACGTGTACATCCCATATCAAAAGGATCACACTATAACTGTTTTTTTTTTCTTGGATAAAATGCACTGTAACTGGTTCACTTAATAGAATGGGAAACCTATATATATTGCCTTTGTTTTTTTTTAATACAAAGCCATTGGGTAACCATGCAAAGAAGACTAAGGTTTAGTTATGTCTAAAGTTATGAGGCTTTTGTAGTTAGGGGGCAAGTTGTCAAAGATAAAAATATCTAAGTCTTCATAGGATATCTTATGGGCTAGTAAATTTATGCATTTGTGTTGGCTTTCCCATAGACATGGTCAAAGGTGACTTCCTAGTCTCATGATGAGATTTTTAATGTTCTTGATAATCATGAAGAGTATATGAGGATCATCGTAGCTATTGTTAAGAAGTGATAAAACTTTCAAAGAGTGAAAGTGGACATTAATTTTGACCTGTTTCTCATTTTAATAAAGATTGAGGCCTTCTATATTTTTCAAAAGTTTAGCTGCTATACACTGGCCTTCAAATATTACCATTTTGGGATGAAATACTGGTCTTAATGAATTATAACACTGGCCTTCAAATAAAAAATATATGAATACTTCTTGAGCTCTCTCTCTCTCTCTCTCTCTCTATCTATCTATCTATTTTTTAAGGTACTCTTTCCATCTTGATTTATAAGATATTTTTTTTATAAAAGTATACATGTAAATGAAGTTTATTAAATATAATTTACAATTTCAAGTTTTTTTATAAATTTTTAAAAATACCTTTCATTAATAAGAGAGAGGGCTAATGAAATTTATTTAAGGTGTAAAATAATAAAAGGTAATGTTAAAATAATCATCATTAATTAAATATTATTTTTTTCCAAAATGTCTTATGTTTTAGAATACAACAATTCATCTTCAAAAATATTTTATAAAATAGGTTTAGGGATTATTTTTAACTATTTTTTACATGCTAATAAAAGTTTGTTACATAATTAAAATGATCTAAATGTAGGCCAATATAACGTTCCATTTTGCCCCTATTTATTAGAAGACTTATTTTCAAACCATAGTTAATACTTTTTAGATGTTTCAATTATTAGAAATACTTCCTCACCACAATGTAAGGTGTCTTCTAAAAGGCTTTATTAGTCCAAAATATAATGACATTAGATAGTTTTTATAATTGTTTTTAACTATATTTCTACTCATTTATTATTCTTTTAATTTTAATTTTGAAAAATGATGCATTGAATTTTCAATTATCATTATTAATTCACTTGCACAGAATATTTAATGAGGAATAATCGAAATGATGTAAATGTTTGTGTTTTTAAATCACATTCAAGGACCATTGAAAAAACTTATTTACAAACAAGAACTAATACAAAATAAATTGCTATTAAAATAGGAACATAAATTTGTTTTTTCTCAAAAGAAATTTGTTATTAATCCTTGTCAGCCAATAAATTTCTTGAGTGGTCCTTTAATGTGATTCCTGCTTTTTTTTTTTTTAAGATTAAGATTTTATCTAAGTACTCTCTCCAATCTTATTTATAGGGTAGAGAAAGAGAAAATTTTTTTTATTATATTCAAAAGTCACCTCTTTAAAATTTCATAACAATTTTTTCTATTCGACTTTCATTAAATATAGAAGAAAAAACATATTTTTAAAATATATATATATATATTTAATAGAAGTAAAGTTGAGAAATTATTAAATTATTAAATAGATTTAATAAGTTTTGAAGTTTTTCTTAATTATAGTAAAATATATTGAAAGTACCTTATAAATAGAATCCGATGAACATAGTAAAACCTCTTGCGTTGTGGAGTAGAGAGAAATTCTATAAAACCTCTTACAAAACATGTAATAAATTGTATAAAAAATTAGAAAAATTAATCTGAAAATGTTTTTAATTTTTCTCAATTTTAAATTAATATTCTATATTTTATTTATTTTAATTAAGCCCTTATAATTTGATAGATGAAATATGTTAATCCCATAATGTTTTTTAATTTTCCTTTTAAAAAATGAAATTAAGAACTTTATATTTTTATTAAAAGATAATGTAACTTTATGATTAATTACATATTTTTTATAACTCAATTTATATAATTATGTTATACATATATAATTTTTTTAAATGTAACCATTGTATTAAATCAAATTTTCTTTTTTTTCTGATTAAAATATTAAATTAATTTTTTATAAATTTTAAGAGTTTTTTATTTTCAAAGTTTATCATTCATTAATAATTTTCACCTTTCAGAATTAACATCCTTTTTTGCTTAAATGTATAAAATTTTGAACTCTGAGACAGTTACAAATGATCCTCTCACCTTTAAAATTTTAAATTAACCCCTTAACATCTAATTTTATTTTTTTAAACCCCATATCATTAATTAACTTTGTTATTTTATTAACAGAGTTTGTTATACTCTCTCCATTCAAAAATATAAGACATTTTTAACTGAATCTTACCCCCAATAAAGTGACCATCTAATTTCAAACTAATTCTATCTTTTCATATTTACCCTTATTAAACACCCGATAATAAATATAAAGTCACTATCAATAGGAATACTTTTGGAAAAAAGGCAATGATTATACATCAAAAGACTAAAAATACTTTATATTTTTGAATATCTAACTTCTCAAAAAATACTTTACATTTTTGAACAGAGAAAGTATCAGATTAATGCAATACACATTACACATGATATGTAAAAATACTTTTATTATTTTTAACACTATTTAAGGAGGGGAAAAACTGTATTTTTTTTACTTTTAACACAAATGATAATGCTCTCATTTTTTTATTTGAGCGACATTGTTATCATTGTTCATGGTGGACACAATTTAAGAGAAAAACTATAATTTAATTATTCTTTATCAATTTAAACAACATTTTATATTAAACTATAATTTTAGATATTCTTTGTCCATCAAAGCCAGCTTTTAGATATTTTTTTATTTTATATATTCATGTGTGTTAAAAGTAAAAATTATAGTTTTTCCTTTAAAAATAATAAAAATATTTTTTCTATGTCATGTGCCATGTATATTGCATTAATTTGACATGACAAACTCTATTAACAAAAAATATAAGAGAGTTATGTTAATTAATGGTAGGGAGTTTTGAAAATTAAAATTAAAAATTAGAAATATTAATTTTAAAATTTTAAATGTGAGAAGTTTATTTGTAACTGCCTCAAAATTCAAGATAGTTTTATATGTTTTATCCTTAATTAATCAAGCTATAAGGGCTTTATTAAAATAAAATAGTAAATTAATATCCATATTAAATTGCTATATGGGAATTCAAACCATAATAAATAAATAAATGGTAAAATTGAAAAAGAAAATCAATTACCCTAACATTACCTTATATTAAATACTAAAAGAAATTTTATAAGTTGCTTTATTTCATACGCCAGGGAGTATACCATCTTTTGCAATAAGCGATGTTTCCGCTCGACCCCTCTTCTGTAAATTTAATACTTTTGAAATTATTATCCAATAAATAAAATTAAAACAAATGAATCCAAATCCTAATCAAGTAACCCTTGAATGTAACAAATGCCAAATACTAATAGTTAATTAATAATCAGGGGTTTCATATGGAAT